ATTATTTAATTTAAATAAATATGTATATATTATTTAATTTAATTTAAATAATTTAAATAATTAAATAAATAATGAAAAAACTTACTTGTCTAATAATTTGTTGAGGTATGTCCATTTTTTTAATAATAACTTGATAAAAAAAAACTTGACAACAACAAAAACTGACACTTGACACATATGATTATGTCTAACCTATTTTTTCCCGCCACGATTACTTCAAGATGTCCTCAGTAAGTTACTAAAGTTCCCTATGCAGATGCTCAGAACGAATCTTATTGGTGAATCATTTTGCTTCTTAGATACACTCGGCAGCCAATGAGAGGACGCGTAGACGAGACCATATTGTTTTTTCACTTTTTATTAACAACATAAATAACGATAATTATACGCTTTAAACCTTCCTTGGTTAATAAGAAGCTTTTGAGCAAAAGATGATATCAAACTATGTAGTAGTTATCGAGAATTATTCGGACAACCGATCCGAGCTCGGTGAAACGCATACTCCCTCCGTTTTTTGCCAACCTGCGGTTGGCAGCAGTCGGGAGTAAAAATAGCAGTCGTCAAAATACCGAGAAAGAAAATAAATCGAAGTCGATCGAATTTTGATTGTTGATAGGGCCACAATATCTCTTTTTAAATATTTGCATTAAAGAATTTATTTCTAACTATTAATAACTTGTAATTTGTATACACAGGATTGTCTGACCGCTAATCACATAACGAGTTCCGGGTCCATTATGGTCTATAATAGAATTTCGTCTTAAGTGTTCTCAGAAAAAAAATATACGAGGGGGGACCCAAAAAAAACCGTAATTATTTTCTGGAAGGCGGGCCTCTTATAGTACAGGTTTCCCCCACTAGGTGAATGTTCTAGTGACCCATCTGCATTAATATACCAGCTGACGTTGTTATGGGAGGCTGCGTTTGGCTTCAGCGAATTTTTTTTGAAGACTCTTTTAACGCGTTTGCCCTTTTTCGTGATGGTTGATTTACACGAACAACGTGCGACAGTGAAATTTTGTTTCCTGTTGGGGAAAAATAATCGTTATGCTACAAACAGCTTACAAGGAAGCTGCTCTGAATAAAACACAAGTTTACGAATGGTTTTCCAGTTTTAAACGAGGCGAACTGTCGATTGACGATCATCGCCTCGTTCCGGGCGTTCTTCGACCAACCGAACTGAAGAAAATGTGGTAAGAATTCGTCATGCCGTCTTGGAAGATCGCTGTCGGACCATTGATAAACTTGTCAAGTTAATTAGAGTGTCATGGAGTTCCTGTCAGCGGATTTTATCGGAAGATTTGGGCATGAAACGAGTCAAAAGGCGCCCGGAACGAGGTTGATCGTCAATCGACATTTCGCCTCGTTTAAAACGGGAAAACCATCCGCAAACTTGTGTTTTGTTCAAAGCAGCTTCCTTGTAAGCTGTTTGTAGCATAACAATTGTTTTTTCCCAACAGGAAATAAAATTTCACTGCCGCACGTTGTTCGTGTAAATCAGCCATCACGAAAAAGGGCAAACGCGTTGAAAGAGTCTTCAAAAACAATTCGCTGAAGCCGAACGCAGCCTCCCATAACAACGTCAGCTGGTATATTGATGCAGATGGGTCACTAGAACATTTACCTAGTGGGAGAAACCTGTACTACAAGAAACCTGCTTTCCAGAAAATAATTCCGGTTTCTTTTGGGTCCCCCCTTGTATGTTAAATATTCATTTTATATTATTTCTTTTAATATTGGTTTTTGCATATTATTAAGTGTGTGATAAGAAAGAATATAAATAAAATAAAAATAAATGATATTTGGTTTTAGAGAATAAGGCACACAAAGAATATTTCTTTTATGTCGTATATAAACATTATTATGAGTATGTTTTATATCTTAGGTATATATTATATGTTTGTGTAACCTAGCTATATTAATAATCGTTAGAGATTTTGTGAAAATATATCGGAATGAATTCTAAATCATAGTAATTATCTTTTTATGCATAATTACGTTACATGGGAATATTTTCTAATTACAATTATATACAAGATGTCTCTCAAAATTATCGTAATATATTTAAATAACGTAATGTAGATGGACGGATAAATAGACGGATTAGAAAAGAATCTTTTAATATAAAAGAATATCGAGGGCACAATTTTCAAATAACAAATAATCAAAGTCGAAAACGATGATATCGCATACAGTTTACACATTCAGATAATTACATATACATGATATGTATGCCAATCTGTTAATTATTTTTATTGTTAAACTGATATGATCCATTTGTATCTTTTGTTTTTGTTTTCGCGATGTCTTGTATAATAACTGCGCTTTTTAATATAAAGTATAATTGCAATTTAGTAAATTATAAATTATTGAACATATAATAAATAATAAAGAACTTCTATAAATCATTGTATATTATAGCCTAGCTTGCAATAATAATATCAAGATGTTGTCTTACCTGAAATAAAATAGCAGTCGTCAAAATGCCGAGGAAGAAAATAAATCGAAGTCGATCGAGCTTTGATTGTTGATAGGGCCACAAACCTATAATCAGCAAAAGTATTCTGTTCAGATCAAAATATTTTGCTTTGATACACATCATTTCTCCACGAACTGTAGAACATGTATGACTGTCAAAAAATCGACGATGGTGCTTTTATCCCCTCTTTTTTCACTTATCGATTAACTATTTTCCATAAACTCTCACTTTTAGTGCAAATTTCAAAGCGAATTTAATGTAATGACAGGCAGTACACAAAATACTACCGTGTGATCGAAACACGTGCAATTGAACAAATTTCTCAGTGAGGTATATACATATAATTAAACGATCGATACGACGCTTAAAGTATTTCGACTTATGTCCTTTTCCCATGAATGGGAACCCTTTGCACAAAATGATCCCACGCAGGCGCTGTTTCCCCTTTTCGAAGCCGACACTTCATTCTAATGCAGACACTCGTAGGATACGTTTGGTCGTCGTGAGAAATTTCTACCTCTTCAACTTTAAACATTTTGATGTCGGATCTATCTGGTCAAGCTCATGTCATCTTAAACCGAGTATATTAGATAAATGCATGATACACATTTTTTAATCAACAAAATTAAGATTTGTTCATTGATAATATTTTGTTCAAGTATGTTTAGTAGAAAATAATATTACGTAATCACATTTTCTACTAAACATATTTTTAGTTAATTATTTCTTTTTTTTATTTAAATTATCATATGGATCCTAATGCTAAATAATGAATGATTTGTTAAAAATAATGTGTCATTATAAATATCATGCATTGAAAATATCATAATGGAATTTAAAATTATTATATCTGTATTATTGTTTTTATTTGAAATATACTATGTAAAATATTCACTTCTGATGCACATGTAGCACAATAATGTTTGAATTAAATAATTAATTTTATTTCTCTATATTTCTTTTTGGATGAAAAATTCTAGCTACATTTCTACAAAATACTACAAAATAGAATTTTCTATTTTGCTTATACATGAAATATAGGGATTTGTTATTTCTTTGTTAAGTGTACTACGTCCATTCTATTATTTGATTTAAACTCGTCATTGTGTAGAATATATAACTGTAAAGTAAGACACTGAGGTTTTGACTAGCTATAATGAAAGATATTCTGTTTCATTACGCTATTCATTCGTAACATATGTAGATCACTATAAATATATTTTACATATTATCTTACCGTGGCAAAAAATTCTATAGATACAACAAATAATCCGACGTTCAAAACAAAATCTCTGGATTCTTTTTGTAACAGGAATAATATCATTTTCTGTATATGCAAGGGAGCTATATACCACCGAACGTTATATCTAAAAAATTAGTTAATCGTAATCAACTAATCGATAATTTGAGACAAATCGCAAAATCATTTTAAACCTCTGTTTATTATGCAAAAACATTGTCTTCTACATTTTAATATAACAATCTCTAAAGCGGATAGATTTCTCAAATTTTATTTTGCAGAAATGTTTCTTACACGGTAACAAATACGTCATGATTGTGATCCGTTACATGTTGACCGATATAGTTGGATAAGAACATATATAAGACAGTGATTGTTGCACATATAATGGGCATTATTAATTCCTTGACATTATTTAGAGATATATCATCTGCAGATGTAATCTGAAAAATCTAAGACACGAGTTCCATGCTGATAATTAGTCTCTTACGGGTATAATGTAACTATGACTTTACGGATAGTAGCAAGGTTTAATGTTATGTGTTTTGGTTTCTATTAAATACTATAAAGACTCAAAATTATTATCTGTTAATTATCTTGAAATATTAATAATATTAGACTCTCTCTCTATCTCTCTTAGCATAGAAATACAAAAACTGTTTGGAAATATATTATCGACTGGATGGACGATTATCACCATACTTAATGAATAGTTACAACAATCCATATAAATTTGAAACACAATTCTATACTTTTGTATATTGTAAAATATAAAATGCTTGCTCGAAAGTGAAGATTGGAGAACAAACCAGAAAACTTACTCGATACAGATTAAGGCTCACTGAGGTTACCCCAAATATTATTAAACAGAACATCATCGGTTCAATACTCGATAGCAAACATTTGGACAATCTTTAAAAAAAAATATGTTATATTACGAATAATAATAAATCTAACACATTATTAGATATATACAAACTTCATAGCTTGTCGATGAATGTCCACAGCCCAAATTAAGCCTTCGTATATCAAAAATTTGTTTTTGAGATTAATATTTTGTAGCATGTTGTTGCTCATTGCATCTTTGATACGATAGCTAATAAACAACTTAATATAATGTATGTGTGATAATTATGTTCATCAAATAGCATATTCTTTTGGTTTTTAAATGTTCCTTTTAAAAATGACAAGATTACACTTAAAACGCGAATTCTTATGTTCCTGTATGCACATTTCATACCTGGCGATTTTAAACATTCCGCAAGTGTGTTGAAGATACGCAATAAGCGTTGTTCCTATTCCTACCATTGCAGTTGCCCCGACGCAGAACGATACATTAAAATGTAGCAGAATCCAATAAGAATATTTTTCTTGATCGACGAAATATTCCATTGGAATTGGTAAATGATGTGATTCAGATACGTTTATTGATAATATATTATCGAGGATACTCGACCAAAATTGAGCGACAAGAAAAGCAAATAGGCTGCAAATACCACATACTAAAAACGTTAGAGAGCAATTGTTATTGAAATTTTTGTAATTTAATTTTTCTAAGTTTGTTTACGTTACCTCAAGCTCATTCACGCATTATATTTTTAATATATTTGTGTTAGCCCAACTGTGATCGATTTTTATATTGTGTAATTGATTACACATCTGAGTCTTCTCTATTTTGTTTTATTTGATTTAAATATATTTATTACTAGAGATATAAATAATAAAAAAATGTTTCTATGTATAAAATACGTTTTTTTGTGAAAAAACAACAAGCTTTATTTCTTTTTATTATAAATATTGTTTTTTCAGACAGTTACATCTTTATATCTAAATTATTGCAAATTGATTTTTTATTATTTGTTAATTTTTATTTTCTAGATGATATATTTGAGCTAACCACCACTATTCTAAATGTAGATTGCATTCCAATTAGCGCAGGTAGACCATTTTATTCAATACACGCGAATATCTCGAAAAGGAGAAGTTTTTTCAAAAAAAAATGTTTCAGACATAAGTTGCATGGTTTGAAGAGGGCCATATGATGAAAATATAGACTTGACCTTTTCAAGGCCAGATTAATGTGATCAATGTTTTCTTAAATCAAATCCTCCATTTTTCATTGTATATTTTTGTAACTTATCTCGAGAGCTTTTCAAAACACTATAATGAAGTATTTTTTTCATTAAAAAGGTCATTCAAGGTCAAGTTCATATTTTTATCATGTGTCCCCCTGTGAGTCACACAACTTTTGCCTAAAACATTTTTGTCTTAAACTTATAGATTTTAAGATATTTCAGTGGATACATTAAAATGGCCTATCCTATATATAAACTCCTCACAAAAAATAAAGGAACACTAAATTTTTCTTGAAAAATAGACAAAATTCAGGAAGTTGTTTCTTCGTTAAAAATGAACGAAATTTAAATGCGACCATGCGACCTCCTCGTGGTTTGGTCTACGTCCACGATTTGGATAACGCTAATGTCAGCGATATTTTTTTCAAATTTTAATGAAAAAGAAAACTAAGCAAAATTTTTTTTGTTCTTGCTGATATTGATTGATCCAACCAATTAAGGCAAGATCAGTCAATAATTCGATCAATAAAGGAATTAAAAGTTAATTATTCATTCAAATAAGGCAAGATGTGATCAAGATCCAGCCAGTGAAGGCAAGATGTGAGCGAAATTCAGCCAGTAAAGGCAAGATATGGTCGAGATCCAGCCAGTGAAGGCAAGATGTGAGCGAAATCCAGCCAGTAAAAGCAAGATATGGTCGAGATCCAGCCAATAAAGGCAAGATGTGAGCGAAATCCAGCCAGTAAAAGCAAGATATGGTCGAGATCCAGCCAATAAAGGCAAGATGTGAGCGAAATCCAGCCAGTAAAAGCAAGATATGGTCGAGATCCAGCCAATAAAGGCAAGATGTGAGCGAAATCCAGCCAGTAAAAGCAAGATATGGTCGAGATCCAGCCAATAAAGGCAAGATGTGAGCGAAATCCAGCCAGTAAAAGCAAGATATGGTCGAGATCCAGCCAATAAAGGCAAGATGTGAGCGAAATCCAGCCAGTAAAGGCAAGATATGGTCGAGATCCAACCAGTGAAGGCAAGATTTCATAATTTCTTTTCATAGTCTATGAGTATAAATTCCATGATAATTGGCATTATTCTTTATATTCATGGCAATAATGAGGAATAGCTTTATCTTCTATCGCAAAAAAAAAAAATGCTCCATACACAGAGAGTTAGTACACCACGCACATTTTATTACTGCAATGTTATTGCAGATTTTGCAGACTGTACCGCAATTCTTTAAACAGAAATCAACAGGCGTTTTACACCTATCTGATTTTTCCTTCAATATATCCACTTTTCCACCAGGCATATTTAATCATGTTTTGGAATCGGGGTGATGAGAATTGATTGTGGATTAATGATTGAATTTTGAGAATGTTATTCCTCAAATGTAGACATCCAATACGTAGACTGAATACGTAGACTGAATACGTAGACATCCAATGGTTGAGTGAAGCCAGTTGTTCCCGCAGGAATTGTAAGGATTTTTACTTCTTTATTACCCTTGTCTATATTTTCAAATTTCTTTTCTGTTTGTCCTGACCAAGAGTCCAAACACAAAATAGACTTCTTGCCAGCATTAGGCAAGAAGACATCTTCAAACCATTTAATAACAATGTCGGATGTCAATTTTCCAGATTTTGTGGCAAAAACGAGAATATTATCTGCTTTGTTTATTGACTTCTGTATTATCGATCCGAAACGGCCACTTGTTTCTTGCAAAACTATTAATAAGGGGAATTTCAAGATACCATCGGCAGATATTAAAGGTTGTATTGTGTAACTGTGAGTCAAGGAATTCAAAGATTGAGCTAGACACTCCACTTTCAAAGAACCCTTTGAGGCTAATGTACGACCAGCATGTGTTTCCAAATTGAACCCTGATTGATCTGAATTGTAAACGTTTGCTGTTCCTAGCAAGCCTATCTCTAGTTTAACTTGACTCACATAATTGGAAGATTGTTCCAATAGTTCTGTTTTATTTAAAATATGCGCTTGTGTCACGAATTTATTTATTTTTCTTGAAACAATACCATGTTGTATTTTAAAGTTGTGTATCCATTTTGATGAAGCCGTAAATAATTGAGAAGGCAAATGAACTACCTCTCTTGCTTTCAAGGCCCATCTCTTTAGATCTAAATCGTGAATGGGTAGATTTGATCAGATGCACTGTTAAATTGTTCTAGAACGTATTGAGAGATATATAACAATTTATCAGTCCTTGACCCACCCTCAGCAACTTGTGCTTCCCATCGGTACAATTGTGTT